TTAAGTTTTCTCTTTGGCACTTGTTATTTTCTAACATACTAATATACTTACTTACCTTGTATATGTTCACCTCCCTGAGTATTTTTCATTGCTGTTTCTCCGATGCCTAACATATTGTTGGGCGTATAGTAAGCACTCTATCTATATATATTGATTGAATAACAAATGAGAAAATCAAGAGAACACATCAAAGAGAATGGGCACATTCAATTGATATTGCTTTGTGGAAATATGGGAAATAATTTGATGATATTACTTGCTAAACAACTTAAGTTGTTTTCTAGAATTGGTGACAATGTTCTTATACTGCAAAGCTAATATAATCTGAACTAGTTAATCTTATAAATGTAGATGTTTTCTGGGTAGGTGATCAGCTCAGAAAAAGAATGAATAATATGTATTTGCTGATTATTTAATATATTCTAGATACAATGCTAAGTGCTTTATCTGTATGATTTCATCCATTCCCCATAACTGCCCCTCAAAGAATTTATTTATTAATATTTTATAGATGAAGAAATAATGTAAATAACTTTCCCAAGCCTATGCAATCAACCAGTGGCCTTCAAGTACTCACACCAAGTTCTGCCTCTCTCTAAAGCCCACTACACTGTACTTCAGTCTGAAAATAGAATGTATTTCCAATATCACCAACATCACTGGTGGGAGGGTATGGAATGAGATACATAGGGTCCAGAAATGCTATTTCATGTTTATTTTAAAAGGACCTGTCATGTATATACTAGGGAAGAGAAGACTCAATAATATCACATGTCTTTAAATACTTGAAAGGATTTCATGTGGTAAATGGAAAATAAATGTGTTCAGCTGCAGAATGAAGAATTAATAGCAAAAGGTAGCTATTATAGAATACAACATGGGGGCACCTGGGTGGCTCAGTTGGCTGAGCATCTGACTCTTAATTTCAGCTCAGGTCATGATCCCAGGGTCATGGGAGCATCTGGCTCTGCTCTGGATGGGAGCCTGCTTAAGATTCTCTCTCTCTCTCTCTCTCTCTCTCTCTCTCCTTCTCCCTTGCTCACACTCTCTAAAACACACACACACACACACACACACACACACACAGAATAGAAAATGATTAGTCTTTGCAAAGACTATTTTGGTCATTTGTCTGTTTGGTTACAAAACAAGTGGCTATGTTCTTATGAGATTGAGCCACCCTTCCCTAGAAGTGTTGAAACAAAGCTAGATAAGCAAACCATAAAGACATTTTAAATCCAATTCATTTATTTGAGGAAGGAGGATTAGTAATGATAGCTGTAAAATTTTCTCTAGCTCACATGGTCTTTGAGTCAAGAGAAATCTTTGCATTCTATGAATAAAGTGACTCATCAGTTCACCCAACACACTCAATTCAGCATAAATAAAATTCATCTGTTTTTTAATTGAATTGCTACTGTTCACTTAACCTCCTAATTCACAAAGAACCAAAAACAAAACAAACAAAAAAAAGACAACAAAAAAAGCCAAAACCGTCAGACAAAAATGTCCTCAAGTTGCTTCCTCCTTTTGTTCATCATATACCTATATATATAGTCCTACATATTCATTTCTCTTTCTTTTCTCCGTGTAAAGATTTCCCCTCCTTGTATTGAAACCAAATGTGCTACTGTTGTTCTAGATCTGACCTCTCCTACCTTCTCTAATGGATCTTGTCTCCAGTCTGCACCTTCATCTTCTCCCTCTTTGTTTAGTTTTTCCCTTTAGTACATACACATGTTTGAGTCCTTCTGAATTCAACTACTTCAAAATCACATGTCTTCTCTTGCATTTCTCTAAATATTTTTTAATTTTTTTTAAGGTCAAGCTCTTGGAAGAAGTCTAGACTCTGTCCCTAACTCTTTCACTTCAATGTACTCACAAACCCACTGAAATACGATTTCCACCCTTATCACTTTTCAAAGGAAGGCTACCTATAACCTGAGGTAATCTTGTATGTTTTTATTTCAAAGCCCCCCAAGACCACCCGCACAGTCAGCAATTCACTAGAAAGACTTGCATGGATAAGCATATACCTGGGCTCATAGATAACATTTATTACAATGATAGAGTAAGGTTCTACAGACAGAACAGTAAGGGGGAAAAGACAAGTACAGTTGGGAAGAATCCATGCTAAGGTTTCTGATGTTTTCACCTTCTCAGGAGAAGTCACAGTGCACTCTCCAGTAGTGATAGTTCAGCCACATGTGTGTAGTGTTTATGCCTAGGGAAGCCAATCTGAGACTCAAAGTTTAAGGGTTTTATTGAGGGCTGGTCATGTAGGCATTCTCTGCCTAGCAACTACCAAAATTCCATATTCCCACTAAGAAAGCTGATGTTGACCATTAACACATTGTATGAATGGTTTCAACAGAGCAAAACCACCTCATCAGAGAATGATTGATTCAAAAGCCAAGTTCCCAGATACCAGCAAAGAGCCAACCTTATAATCAGGGTTTTCTCTGGCCTGCTGTGTTACTTCTTTCCTGCACACTTCTCATAACTCCAAATACTCTCAGTTTCCAGATGAATCCCATATCACTCTCTGTGTCTCAGCTATGCTCTTCAGCTAAACTTACATGCCCATATGCCTACTAAGCATTACCATTAAAACGTCCCCCAAGAACCTCTGATGCAACTTATGCATATCTAAATTTTTTATCTCTGTACTTAGCTCTTTCAAATAATCCCCCAGTACTCTCTGCCTTAGTGAATGACCTCAATATCCTCTGGTTCCTACAGCAAAAAAAGCTGGTAGACATCCTAGATTGTTCCATCTCCCTCATCCAGCACAACTAAGTTGATCTGTCCATCAGATAGGTTCTACCTCTTCAATTTCCATATAACCTGACCTCTTCCTTTTATTTTCATGCCACTGCCTTCATTTATGTTCTGTACTCTCCTGAATCATCATTTGTTACCTAATGTTACCTAATTACCTCTAGTAATCCTCTCAATGTTCTGCCTGACTCCTGAACAGACCTCTGCAAGTTCATTCTCATTACTAGTCAGATCTTAAACATGTTACTTAGCCTTTCTGAATCTCATATTCCATGTATGTAAAGTGGGAATACTAATAGCCCCGTTCTCATAAGATTGTTGTGCAGAGTAATTGAGATAGTAAATGTAAAATGCTTAGCACATAGTAAATGTAAATAAACATGAGTATTAAATATTAATGTTTTTACCATGATATTTTAAAAAGCATTAAAGGGGACAATATGATCTTGTTACACCACTGAGTATTACCAGTGGCTTAAAAAGACCTTCAGGATACAGTCAGAAACTCCTTACCATGGCACTTTTCCTGTCATAATTTGACACTTGGTCTCTTAGCTACAGTCCCAGTGAGCCACTTAAGAAGTTTCAAGTAGGTCAAACTTTGCCTTTTCTCTCTCTTAAGCCCTTCTAAATCCTGGTCCTTTCCTGAAATTCTTTTACCCTATTCGTCACCTCCCCTGACCATTTTTTTAAATCTCAACTCTCTCATCCAAAAAGATTAAACCTCAAACATTAAGTCTTTAGGAAGGTTTTTCTAATCTCCCCAGTCTGAGTGCTTTTTATAAGTATTCCCACTACAAACTTTGACTACTTCTGGATATACATATTACACATTATTATAACTACCTGCTCAATTGTTTATCTTCACAGTTAAACCTGAGGCTTTTGAAGATAGAAACTGTATTTGATTCATCATTATGTCTTTCCCTTAGTCTGGGACCTGGTATAAGGAAAATGTTTGATAAATACTTTCTGAGCCAATAAAATCAAATGACAGGGATATAACCATAGGAACAGCTTCTAAGTTTAGCAGGACATGCAGTGGCTCATATTGGAAGAATCTAAATTACAAAAGAAATGTGTTTTACACACAATGTAACTTTACTTATCTAAATAGCTGAATTTTGGGGTTAGTCCTTTAGAAAATTGAAATTGTCTCGGGTAAGTCAAATGAAGAAAACTATTTTCTTGAGCAAGATTTTGCTGAATAGCCTAGAATGGTGAGTTTTGTATTTCCTGCCCCAACCCCTAAACCCTGTTTGAGTACTCCCATCAGCATGGGCACAAATCATCTTACCTGTTGCAGAGGCAATAAAGATAGAATCTGCATCAATACCTATCCTTGAACTGGTCTGGTTTTCTCCCAAGCCTTTTAAGATGACAGTAGTAACCCAAAAATGATTTTGCAGAGGAGGAGGAATAATTTGGTGAAAGAGGCAGTGAGTTATCCCTGGACCTGTTACCACTCAAGGGTGGAGAGAAAGATGGGAAGATACAGGCGCACTTCTAAAAGTTCAACTACGAGTCATGGTATTAGAGAACTATCTGCCATTGTCTGACGTTGCATTTTGGCATACACAGAAAAGGAATTGAATTGATCTTTGAATAAACTGGCTTATATGCAACAAATGTTATTTTGTAATCCACCACATAGAACAGGTCAGTTAACAATTGACTCAAAAATCTCTCAAGAGTCATACTTCCAACCCAGTTTGGTCATCTCAATACCTGTGTTCTCTGTTGTACTGTGCTCCAGCACACCTATGGGTCAAGTGTAGCAGATGGTGTGATTTCAAAACCTGGTCCTCATTCCCCAATCTCCTAGGAGTGTTGGCTGCATTATGCTCTCCCTTTCTGTGAATTGTCCTCCAATGAAGGAAGGTGCCTGGCCTTTGATAGTCCCTGGCTGAGTGTAGCCTTTTTCCACTGACTGATCAAGGAGTTTATATACAAAGACCTGGACCCTTGTTTCAATTCAGGACAACTCTGAATGTTTATTCTCAGCTCAGAGTGCCCAGTGAATTGATTGAAGCTTTTGTAGCACTACAATTTGCAGAATTTCTTTTGCATAATAATGTTTTTCTCACTTGTAGCTGTTGTTCCCTTGAGTGTACTTTCACTGCACTGACCAAAGACAGGTTACTTTCTTTATGTAATACAATACCCCAGAGATCTAAATTCCATGGAGAACGCTTAGGGAAATAATAGAATGGAAATTTCTGCAGTATTTACTCTTTGCTACTCCATCTTTATCTAGCAGATCAGGCAATAAAGATGAGTAAGTAATTGAACCTAAATGACTTGTACTTTGGAAACTACAATGATGAGAAAACAACTTAATCTTTTGTGAATAAAACATAATAGGTAACAATTCTAAGGAAAGAAGTTTAGTACAGCTGATTTGTTTAAGTTGCTCGTATGTAATACATGGCATTTTTATTACATTTTTGCTGTATTGTTAAGCCACTCTTTTGATGACAGTTATTAAAAATCACAATCACTATTGAATTTTTATTATTTGTTTTCCCTACTAGACACTCCATTAATCATGTTGTGTTTTCCTTGGTTTATCTTGTTCTTCCTAATGTATTCATGAAATTTTATATTAATCATAGAGATCAGAAACTTTGAGAACTGAAAGAGTTCTTGAAATCCATTGTCCCCAAACATCTTACTTTGTGAATGAGAAAGAGAGCTTTGGAGAGATTTTGAAGACTGACATGACATGAAGCCTGCCTACTTTCTTTCCCCTTTCCCATTATGATCCAACTACACTGGTTACTGGAATCTGCCAAGCATCTTCTCTCCTCATTGCACTCTCTCTATCTGAAATGCTGAACTCACAGAAGCTGTTATTGGCCATTCAACTAAAGAGCCACTTAGTCATTTGCTATTTCATGAAGCCTGTTTTCATTCTGAGATTTCTTTTAGGTGTGTGTTGATTTGCTTCCTTACCGTCTGTTCCTCACTTCACCACCCCTCACTCCATGATATAAGCTCCATGAGAATCCTCCTAACCTAGCCATGTGTCTGATAGAGGAATAAATATTTGTGGGACAATATTGATTAGCCTACTGGCCCCATACCTGGATGCAGTCATAGCTGAACATTAACCCAAATCTCTTAATTCTCAGTTCATTGTTTTGGCTTCTTCAACATGTTACATAGAGAGAATTTATTCCAATTTATGCATTTTTTGTGCACAAGTCATTCTGCTAGTCATTGTGGGGAATTTGGACATTAAGATACTGTCTCAGCCATGTCTACTGACTTTTATTTTATTTATTGAAATTCTTTTTGCTTTTTAGCTCATCTGAATCTGTTCTGTATACTTTGCTCTTTCCTGATATTTAGCCCCATTTCTTCTTTTGTTTCACTTCATTTCACTTTATTGATGAAAAAGCTGATTTTATCTTTATACAACATATACTTCTCTTGCATTCATAAAAGTACTCTAAGGTCTTACACCACAGGTACCTGATGCTGAATAATTAGGGATGGAGTGTTGAGTTTATCTACAGAGGGCCATATCACTACTGCTCTTATTTTCCTTACTATTGTTTTAGCTAACTATTTATATGGAAAAGGCTGTATTTAAGCTGACCATCTATTAGCAGAATAGGTAAATATAACAAAACTTCCATATGTTAGAAAACTCAAAAGCTACAAGGCAGAAATTTAATCAATTCTTAGTCCAGGTTCATAAATGACAAACATAAATGTTAAAATGGCAAAAATATAGAGCACTGTGTCTCTTAGTTCATTGTTCTCACTCAACAAATTAAACCTACCAATGTGAAAATGCCAAATGCCCATTGAGCCATTTCCAAGTTAATAACATTCTGTATGAATCCATTTGGATTTTTCCCCCAATCTGGCACATTTAATATCATTTCAAACCCCGTTGGTTTGATTATAAACGAAATGCAGTGGCATTTCCAGGGTGCACACTCCACAAAATGGATCCAATTACCAAATTTGCAAAAAGTGTTTCAGCATGAAATAACTTGCCCACCATAATATCACAAATGGATTTAAAATGAGGGAGATGATTTTTGTGTCTGTGAGCCCATGCATCTTTCCTTTGCTTTTCAATTTATTTGTTCTAGGATTTTGTAGCCAGAAGTGTGTCAAACGGTCACAGGTGGAAAGTATAAATAGCGGTTCATCATGTCTTATATATGCAAATTTTCAGACTGTAAATAATTTACTTTGCTAAGTATGTTCTGTGTATGTTCTTGTATGTTCCAAGTTATGTTCTGTGGAACACTACTACTATAAGGTATTTTTAGATACTTAATGAGAAAACAGGTTTTTTTGGGAGTAATAAGTTAGGGAGGTGTTGCACATATTTCTCCCTTGAAAATCTACTCTGAACTTTAGCATACTAAAGACTTTGGGAATTTCTACAAGCAAGAAACCCTTGCTGAGATATCTCTTCCTAAGATTGGTTTTTTACTATTATTATTTTTTAAATCACCTTTCAGTCTAAGTCCTAGAAACAGAGAATAGAAAAGTGGTTGTCAGGAGCTTGGAAGCAGGGGAAATAGAGGTTGATAAAAGTGTACAAACTTTTACCTATAAAGTGAATGACGTCTGATCTAATGCATAACATGGTGACTACAACTCATAACACTGTATTTTGTAATTGAAATTTGCTAAGGGAATAGAACCTAAATGTTCGTGAAAAGAAAAGGTAAATTTGTGAGTATTAACTCTATCAGAGGGAATCATTTTCGCAATGAAAACATATATCAAATCATCACATAGTATACTTTAAATATATTGCAATTTTATTTGCCAATTATAACTCAATAAATCTGGGAGGAAATCAGCACTTTTTATTTCTCAGGAATCAAATACAATGAAGAAAATAGAAATCACTGTAACCATTTCGAATGAAGGTAGTAGATTACAAAGATATTATTTTTAAAAATTTTTATTTATTTCTGAGAGAGAGAGGATCACTATATATATACATATATGTGTATATATATAATTTTTATTTATTTCTGAGAGAGAGGATCACTATATATATATATATATATATATAATTGTTTTTATTTCTGAGAGAGAGAGAGGATCACAAAGAAATTATTGCACAAGGGATAGAAAAGCTAGTAAATCTCACATGGTACAGTAAGGCACTCCAGGAGTTAGCAATGCCAGAAAGCTATTAGCACCTCTAGGTGGGTGACATCATGGGACTCAGGATCTGGGACTAGCAGATAAAATCCAGAAGCTGGGTTGACTTTTCTGTAGATCTAGGACCATGAAAAGACTGTCCTATGAAAGCCTGCAACAGAAAAGTTCCAGTTGATGCTGGAAATGCTACTCTCCTGAGCTCAAAGTCTGAAAGTATTTTGGCTTTCCCTTTCTAGCACATTCCAGTCCTTACCAGATCTTCCATTGGTACATCACAGCCAGAAACCTATTGGCAGGCATATCTGGGAAATACAGTTCTTTGTGTTGTAGAGTAGATTATGAGAAGGATGAAGTGAATCTAAAGGAAAACAGGTAAGGGACTAGCATGAGGTATTTTAGATCCCAACTGGAAAATGCTGATTCAGGTTCCAATCATTAGTTGGTAATGTAAACAACTTCCCATTAAGATATTATAATTCCATGAGCAAGGCACAACCAATTTTCTAATTTTGGGGGTATATATTTACATTTATGTATATGAGGGTTCTCCAGAGAAACAGAACTAATTGGATACAACTATCAATCCATATCTCTAGCTATCCCCCCTTTTCTATTTTTCTCTTTCAATTCTCTCTCTCTCTCTCTCTTTCTCTCTCTCTCTCTCATATCTCTAGCTCCCCATCCATCTATTGAAGAGAATGAGATCATTATACAAGAACTGGCTCATACTGTTAGGAGGCTGAGAAGTCCCACTACCTGTTGTGGTTTGCAAGCTAGAGATCCAGGAAAGCCTGTTGTGAATTTCCAGCACTGGAGAACTGCAGAACTGTTAGTGTAGATTCCAATCTGAATCTAAAAGCCAGAAAACCAAGAGTTCTAAAGGCAGAAGGTTGATGTTCCAACTCAAATAGCCAGAGAATAAATTCAACCTTCCTCCACTTTTTCCTGTTCAGGCCCTGAATGAATTAGATAATTCCCACCCACATTGGGTGGGAATATATATATATATATATATATTATTATTATTATAATCTCCACATTGGAGATTAGCTTTATTCCCTTAACCAATTAAATACTAATCTCTTTTGGAAACACTCTCTAGACATACCAGAAAGAACATTTGACCAGGTATCTGGGCGTCCTATAGCTGACACATAAAATTCACCACCACGCTGTCATGTTTGTTTGAAAATATAAAAATGGTTCATGAGTACCCTTGAAGTTTGGATAAAATGTATCAGGATCAACCAAAAAAGAATAACGTTTATTTACATGCTATTTTGGAAAACTTTCTGGCTAACCAAAATAGGAAGTTTATCTTTTAAGTTGCCATTTCATGAAGTTCACTCAATAATAGAGAGTAATGCTTGTTTTGCAGTGGTTGTTTACAAGTGTGCCTCTCTAAATGCTTGTCCAGCATGAGTAGCTCCTCCCTTGGATCCAAATTATAGCCAGATGGACAGTTATGTCTACCTGGTATAAGTGTGTCTGATTTATAATACCTGAAATTGCGTGATAATTTAGACTAATGCTAGCAACACCAAGAATAAGATGTGAGAAACTGAACAGTATTATTGATAAATTACTTACAGATTTACTTAACAAGCAACTTAGACACTTGGAGCCATTAGCAATATGGAGGCCATCTGTGTGATCTTGTTTACATTCCAATCTCTTCTCACCAAGGCTTTGTAAACACATTTCCTCCTTCCTTAGTCTCAAGTATCTTTTCCTTCAGTGCCATCTAACCACTGATATTTACTGAAAACTTACTATATGCCAGGCCCAATACATTCCAGAACTTTTATATTTTTAATTCATTTAAAAACCCTTGAGGTAAGAATTATTATCCCTTGTTCACAGATAAAATAAGGCTCAAAATAGTTGTCTCACAGCACAACAATGAAAGATCTTGTATTTGAACCCATCCCCTTTTATACTAAGTGTTAAATCACTGTTGGGACTCTCAGAAATCCTCTTCATACTCCTGATATGTTATTAACTCTTTGTTTACTGATTGGAAAACCAATTTGGAAGTACCCACTCTATGCCAGTCTTGCTGAATGTATAATGATTTTCATTTTGGAGATACTCAAGTTTTGGTTCTATTTTACTATATGCCGTGGACTCTTTTCAAGACTCTTCTTAGGGATGCCTGGGTGGCTCAGTCAGTTAAGCATCCAACTTTGGCTCAGGTCATGATCCCACAGTTCACAACTTTGAGCCCTGTGTCAGGTTCTGTGCTGATATCTTGGAGCCTGGATTCTGCTTGATATTCTCTGTCTCCCTCTCTCTGCCTCTCCCCTGCTCATACTACATCTCTGTTTCTCTAAAAAATAAACATTAAAAAAATTTTTTTTGAGATTTTATTATTTGAGGTGGGGGAGAATTTTTAGGTTCACAGCAAAATTGCAGAGAAGGTACAAAGATTTTGTAGAGATTTCCCACTACCTCTCAGATACATATACATGCAGATAGCCTCCCCCGTCATCAGCATTCCTCAACATAGTGGTATATTTGTTAAAATAGATGAACCTACATTTGTACATCACAGTTAGTAGTATACATTAAAGTTTATTCTGTTATACATTCTGTGGGTTTGGACAAATGTATAATGACATGTATCCATCATAATAGTGTCACAGAAAGTATTTTCACTGCCCAAAAAGCCTCCATGTGCCACCTATTCACCTCTCTCCCCCATCATCTCCAATGCTTTGAACTTATACAGGTTACAATATCCAGTGCTATGTTTTTTTTTTCCTTTCTAGACCATTTCTTTTATTGCATTAATGTGTTATATTTAAATATATGCTTCCTATGACCATCTGTTCTCCCCCCAAACCTCAAGCAGCCAATTAACACCCAATCACTCAACAGCAGAGTTTGGATTTCCCAATTTTCTATGGGGTTTTAAGTTTCAAGGATTCAGGATAAGTAGTCACTAGTCTTGTTAGATATTTTTGACCAGCATGGCTAGATTGGCCATATAATTGAAGTGGCACATAGTGATCATTCAAGTCTCATAGTCAATAGATGCTTAAGCTGATGATTTAATCTTTCACATCTCAACAACTTCACTGTCTGCATTGATTGTGTCCCATCCTAGGCATTTTCTACATGTTACCTGATTTAATACTTCTAACAGTAATCCAATGTAGATATTATCATTTCCTTCTCATAATGACAAAAGGAGTCTAAACTTGTTGCTACTATGTGATTGTCATTTGCTCAGTTTAAAAACCTTGCAGTCAACCTTAAGTCCTTTCTGTCTCATATACATCCAATCCAATGGCAAACCCCACTGTTTCTACTCTCAGAAATAAATCTAAAATCATAATAGTTCTCATCATCTTCATGTCTACCTCTGTGTTCCACACTGCTATTACCTCTTTCCTGAATTATGAAAGCAGTCTCCTAAAGATTATGTTTTCTTCCCACTTCCCTCACCTCTTCTCTGAAACTCTACCATTAATCCCCCATCAATTCTAGCTCTTCACTCTACATTACAAAAATAATTTTTAAAAAAAATTTGTTAATGTTTTATTTATTTTTTGAGAGAGAGGGACAGGGTATGAGCAGAGCAGGCAAAGGGCAGAGCGAGAGGGAGACACAGAATCTGAAGCAAGATCCAGGATCTGAGCTGTCAGCACAGAACCCAATGCAGGGCTTGAACTCATGAACCAGGAGATCATGATCTGAGCCACAGTCAGATGCTTAATTGACTGAGCCACCCAGGAGTCCCTACAAAAATAATCTCTAATACATATAAGTCAGACAATGACATTACTCTTATTCAGGCTCTGCAATGCTTCAATGACTCTCTCTCTCAATCTTTCTCTCTCTCTCTCAGAGTAAGAGCCAAAGTTCTTACATGATTTGTCTCTATGTCATTGTATGGCTTCCATTTCTTCCTACCACTCTACATTGGCTTCCTAGTAACTATCTGAATTCACCAAGCTAATCAGAGCCTTTCAACTTGTTCTTTTTGCCTCTTATGAATGTGTCTGAAATGCTATGTAATAATTTGTTGGTTGTGATTAATTCTGGTGGTGGGAGGTTATAGAAACAGATTTTAATCTTAATTTATATAATTATAAATTTAAAAGCCGTATATTTAGTGGTGACTAAATTATTTTTATGTATTTTATATATTTACAATATAGGAAAGCTATAAAATAATTATACATGACACTAGCAGTCACATAAGAATATGAAAATTCATACAGATGTGTAAGAGCTACCCCCTCAAAACTGAAAATAACATGAACATCACAAAGATGGTATGTGTCTTATTAAATCAGTTAATAAGCTATGCATGTAATGTATAACTGAAAGGCACATGACAGTGGTTGTTACCTTTGACTACATAGAATCACCTGGGAAGAGTTTAAAAATCCCAGTACCTACACTCTACCCCAGACAAATTATGTATGCATCTGTGAGAGTGAGGCTGAAGTACCAGTTTTTACTGACGGTTGAGTCCTATATTCAGCCAAAGTTAAAAACCACTGATATAAGAGGAAAAGCTAGAGATGTGGTGAGTGAGGATGGAAAGGAGCAACTTAACTAGAGCATAAATGATTAGGATTTAGTGTTGACAAGATAAGGAAAACAGTAGGGAAAGGGATTAGGAGGCAAAAAAACAAAAGATTTGTTTTGGGGCTCCTGGGATGATCCATTTGGTTACACTGCATAACTTGCATAAGGGAGACTTGAAGAGCAAGTTACTATAAAACACTTCCAATGCCAACATAAGGAGCCCCAAAACTAACCTATAGATAACTAAGGAGTAATTTGATTACACCAACTTCTAGTGGGTAGTGTAGGATGAAGTAAGAGGAGAATATGCATGCATCTTAGAAATAAAACAGGAATTGATTGCAATTGTCCTAATAGGGGGAGTGAAGATTTGAATGAGTACAGAGAAAATCAAAATGACTGATTGTGCAGTAACGAACTAAGATGAAAACGTCAAATCTCCACTTTACTCCCAGCTAGGTAGACACTGTTTAAGAACAACTTTCAGATGAATATCTCATTTACAAGGTAAAGTCTCTGCATCTGGGTATTTAAAGCTATATGGGCCTACTTTGAGTTGACATCATAGCACGTCACCTAGGGAAATGTAGATTTTGCAATTTAATGGTGGGTAGGCCAACCAGTTAATTCAGGACAAGAACTCCACAGAGGAATTACCACAGAGAAGGTACACTTCCTTGCTAAGTACTTGTAATTTGTTCTTGGAAAGCTTTATCAAAACAGCCCTCAGCTTTTAATGTAAGGATTTTCTCCCCTTGAAATTAGGATGGATGTATTTCTGTTATAAGTGATGTATTGATTGTGAAATCAGGGGAGAAATTACAGGGAAT